GATCGTGATCATTAGAGTTCGAGAATTAGCAAAAGAGTTTGCAGAATTCATCAAAGGTATTATTCTCAACACAGTTTCTATCTAAACACAAAGCAGATCCGTGGTGGGAATTGAAAAATTATTAATTTTTCGCCGTGCATGTTAAGTAAATTCCCAACAACACTCACATGGGGTCATGGGGACTTCTTACTCTAGCTGTTCCAAAGAGTCTCCGCTAGTTTAACCATGTTTAGTAGACTACTTGTACTATTCAACTTATTTGTGAGCTGTTTACTATTACTTAGGTTCCTAATGAGGGCAAGACATTTGAACAGCACAGTCAATGCTACAAAATTAATTATAACTTCTATAGTTTTTAATGTTAATGGATATTAATGATCAGACTTGAATTTTTTTTTCCCATCTCGGGTTCTTGTCCAATGGTTTTGGGTTTCATTGATGAAAAATGCTACAAGTACGAGGAATAACTCAGATTTTAACAAGAATTTGAATAGTAGCATCATGTCCGTCTGTGTGTTATTTTCCCTTTTCCCATTTTGAATATATTCCCTCAATTTCAAATTCATGTACCCATTCTGTATAATTTTCCTGTACTTATAGCAAGATTTTTTTTTTTATTCTTTGGAAAATACTAAGAATCTGTTTGGTACATATTCTCATTTTCTACAGTAAATCAATTCTCATTTCAACCACACATTCTTCAATAAAATAATATTTTCCATCACATCAATAATTTTTTTTTCTTTTTCAACCACACGTTTCCCATCATATCACTATTCAAAATCAATTCTTCCCCCAAAAATCTCTCACAAATCACATCAATACTTTTTTCTTCTTTTTCAACTACACATTTCCCATCATATCACTATTCAAAAATCAATTCTTCCCCCAAAAATCTCTACCAAACACACTCTAAAGAAGTTGATTCTTTGAAGAATACTAAAAAAGACACGAGGATTTGGAGCATGTTGAATTGAACAAAACTTATAGATTCAAGTAATTGTCATGAATGAAGAAACAAATGAGAACAAGATTTTAAGAAGGGAACGAATTGAATCGTTCATGTTTAACGGGTAGAAGAGGGAAAAGTTAAATTTAATACTTTACAAGAAATATAAATCGTATCTATTATTTTGCAGTGAAGAAGCCTTTGAAATAATGAGCTATTTATTAGTCAAAATGGACCTTCATGATTCTTCATCTCACCCCCTGTTTGTCATCCATTTTATCAAACATTGTTTGCTACAATAAATAATCTTCACCACATATTCATTCAATAAAATATTATACACACAAAAAAATACTATATATATTTAATAATTCGACGATGACATTTTTCATTTTACAATGCTGAAAAAAAATTCAAGTGAAATTATTTCTATATATTTCAATACTTAATTAATGGATTTCATTAAAATTTTAATTTTGGTCGCTTGAATTTAAAAGGAATTTAAAACCCATCAAAATCTAACTTCTTATTTGTTTAAAATTGTAACT